AAAATTCACTATTGACTAAATTTTAGATTTTAAGCAGAAAAATCAGAATAAAAAGAAAGTATAGCCAAGTAATCCTTGCACTCAAAATTTATTTTTTTTACTCATTTGATGTAGCTTGGGAGCAATTACTATTATCGAACCACTTCAAACAGCTTTATTCCCTTACAGTGTAAGGCTTACACTGCGCTTCATAAGTCATCGCCCAACATTTGCACCGCTATATCTCGTACAATTGGTGAGATAACAATTTGAAATTTTATAGGGTTGTAGCCAGTCGAATTTGTGATGAGACTGGACTCCTACTTTCAAAAAGTACTGACAAGGTCAAGGGTCATGATTTTTTGACCTCAAACCCCAAAAGTGACCTACCTCAATGAAATTTTTTTCTTGGTGGTTTTATTTTTATTATGTTGGCAAAACTCATCCTGAACATTTTGATCTTTGGATCGCCTCTGTGCGATTTTTTTTGCGCCCACAGGAATTTTTTGAAAGCTGCAGTTTTGAGCGGTTTTAGAGTTTTTCCCCATAAGCGTAATGTTATGTACATATAACTTTTCGAGACTGCACTTTTCAAAAAATTCCTGTGGGCGCAAAAAAAATCATACAGAGGCGATCCAAAGATCAAAATGTTCAGGATGAGTTTTGCCAACATAATAAAAATAAAACCACCAAGAAAAAATTTCCTTGAGGTAGGTCACTTTTGGGATTTGAGGTAAAAAAAATCATGACCCTTGACCTTGTCAGTACTTTTTGAAAGTAGGAGTCCAATCTTATCACAAATGCGTTTGGCTACAACCCTGTAAAATTTCAAATTGTTATCTCACTAATTGTACGAGATATAGCGGTGCACAGTGGCCGCGGAAGCGTGGGGACATAGGGACAATGTCCCCACGGAAATTATGCCGTGGGGACAGCCAATGCATTTGTCCCCACTGTCTCGAGGGACTGAACTCGATATATAAAAACATTGATTCTTGAAGTCCAAATAACACTACAATTTGATCATTTCTAAATCTTATTAATCTCCTGTTAGACATACTATCCCCGTACTTAGGCGTCTCACCTCATTTGCATAAATCTCAATAGCCCATTTTCGGCGATACGGGCTTACCATGTTGAGTAAACTCTATGAGTCTCACGAATGCGTTAAAATATGCAAATGAGGTGACAGAGCAGAATACGAGAACAGTACGCATAGACATAGATGGTTAGTTTATCAAAATATTTTAGGTTACCGTTGAACAATGAACGATTTGCCCCTTTTATCGGAATGGAAGTGGAGTAAGCATCCTTCTCTTTGTAAAAATCGCCCGTCGCTTGAACTTTTACCTAAAATATTTTGACAAATCCCAACTAGTACACAAATTATCTGAAGAAACGTTGGTTGTGTTGACCTTGGCCACTTCATTTCAAAATTTCAACCAATTAGGAGTGTCACAGTTCGCACCGCATTGTGAGCGTGCTCCTGTCAATCTTCACATTTCTCGCAAATTGAGCATAGGAACATAACTCGAGATTTCGCAAAACGTTCGCTTGAAAACCATGTGATTTTTTTCGCCAAATTACCCTGCAAATGGGTGTGCTCTTATTTAGCAAAATTATTTCGCGAACTCACGCTCACCATGACCAGCGCGAGAATTTATAGAAATCCGCAAAAAAAAATGGATGTTTTCAGAAAGATGTTTCAGATTTTCCAAATCATATTTTGCGAACCCCCTCACAACACAAATTTTTTGGGCTTCCCCAGTTTATCCCAAAATCCCTAAAATAGTTTTTTTTTAATTTTCAGCTAGTACAGCCCACCAGGTTCGCGGCGTCAGGAATACCCCAAAACAACCAAGATTTCCCATCGATGGAGTCGAATATTCGGCGTAGGAAAAGCGCACTTACTCAGTTAGATAGCTTAAATTTATTTATCTGGAAAATCAATAAGGTTATAGCAGCATGTAATTCTGCGCTAGGAAAAACTAGAATGAATACTTTTGCTAATTGAGAACGACAAAAATATCATTCGTGAAGAATTTGAACTTATTGAAACCAGTATAATTTGCTAGCTATTATCTACTTCGCCAGACAATTTGCCACAACTAATTTTCTAATCATGTTTAGTGAAGTTTTACCCGAAGAGAGAAGTCATTCAGTTCTATAATTTTGGTTGTTGCAACTTCATCTCCAACCTTGTAGAGAAGTTTTTCTACTTTGGGGAGATCAACCAGGACACAAATACGATTCAATAATAAAATAATTTATGCAACCTTGCCGCACTTCCCCACTTGGTAGAAACACTGATTTTCATAAGCGCCATTATACATACATATGTATACATACATGTATGTATGCCGGAATTTGTTCACCGCCTGCATTAGTGTAGAATAATTTGGTATCCATACAAAATTTCCCAGCAAAACTTCTCTTAACTGAAAAGGTAACCTTGAGCACGTCAACTCTCAATTTTTTTCGGGATAGTCTTAATTGATAGATAATTTAGTAAACTTAAACCTTGTCAAAGAACTTGCGGTGAAAAATCACGTTTTCGCGAAATATTGGTATTTACCGATAGCCGCACAAAACGTCCAACTTTTCCATTGATTTTAGCATAGCCTACAGTCTTCGGAACGAAGGAAGGAAGTCTATAGAATATGGACAAAATATATAGTAATACGTCTGCAATTTGATGCTGATCAAGCATTTGCGAAAATTTGACGCACTTAATTGCAAACTTTTTTGTCAAATTGCGAAAATCTGCAAAGTTCCAAAATTTCCGTTTGGTTTGAAATTTAAACCAAATTTTAAAATTTCACGTTTTTCATGCGCTGTAGCTGCAAAGTTCTGTAGTTTTCTGATTGCAAAAAAATTCGAGAAAATTTTCAGGAAGTGCAAATCATAAGAAAAGACAACATTACTAATGCGAGTCTATTTTTAACCTTTTTTCGAAATTTGCTTGCTTTGTTGATTTTTGCAAATTGTGAAAAATTCTGGATATATTTTCAATTTTATGCATGAACCAAGATTTTAGGCTTTTTAACCAGACCATTAGGTTTGAGTCGAGCGATCATAGATATGCCAAAAACTGACCATAGAAATTTGCAAAATTTTTCGCAATTTGCAAAAATTAATAAAGCAAACAATTTTGAAGAATGTTTAAAATAGTGACGTATTGGTAATTGTAACTTTTTCTAAAGAAACGTTATGAATTCAAATTTCTAGAAATTTTCGCGAATTTTTAGTAATAAAGCAAATTTAAATCTTTTCTAAAAACTTTTTTTTGGAGTGCAGGAAAAGCGTTTGAATTTCGAATGATACGCAAATATTGCAATTTTGGAAAATTTACATAGTTTCCCAATTTGCAAATAAAATGGCCATTGTTTCCATCATTTTTGCATGTTCGTGATCAGGATGGAATTGCAGACACATTCATCGGTATATAATTTATCCATATATTCTGATGCGATTTTGCACCCCACGCATGTTCTATGACAAAGTTTAAATTACACTAAATTATTTGTCAATTACATAAGACTATCCGGAAGGAAATCGAGAGCACACATTATTTAAGGTTCCCTTGTTAGCCAAGAGAATTTTTTGAGAAAATAATACACCGGGATAGTGTTTATTGTGGTTTTAAGCCTTGTTATTTAGCTTAAGTTGCTTTATTGCACTTTTTTCGACTTTTTGTTTCGACAAGTGTGTCCCCACGGTAAAAATCATCTTCCGCGGCCACTGGCGGTGCAAATGTTGGGCGATGACTTATGAAGCGCAGTGTAATTGTGATTATTTTAGGTTGAAAGAGTTAATCAAGGTGAAAAGGCTTCAGGTATGTACACTCTAAATAAAAATTGAGTAAGATTCACTAAATTTTGAGTGAAATTGCCACCAAGACAACTATTGAGTAAAAGTTGCCCAACAAAAGTTAAAGTTTATCCAACTTTGAGAGATTTTTGCTCAACCTTGAGTAAATTTTAACTTTGACGGGGTAAATTTTACTCAATAGTTGTCTTGGTGGCAATCTCACTCAACTTTATTTACAGTGTAAATACTTACTGATATTTAATTATGGCGGCCATGATCAAGTCTTTACTTACCGGTTTCGCAGGTTGCCCCTGCGGAGCTTGAGGATATTTTACGACAACATCCCGACATAGCGGATGTCGCTGTAATTGGTATTCCACACGAGAAACTGGGTGGAGCACCGCGAGCTTACGTTATGCCAAAGGCAAAAAATTGACAGAAAAGGCCGTCAGTGATTTTATGGACTCAAAGGTGTCATCTCATAAGAAGCTGGTCGGCGGCGTGGAATTAGTCTCTGCCATTCCAAAGGCTCCATCTGGTAAAATATTGCGGCGAGTCTTGAAGGATCAAGACAGAAATAATTTTGGTTTGCAGGCACAAATACGAGCTTACTAACGTTTAAAATCTATGGTTTAAGTGTGATTTTTTTAATAAATAAAGCCGGCATTTGAAAAATGTGTACCTTATTCTTAATTGTTCAGAATTTGTACAAAATTGTCAGACTGGTAATAAATGTTCTGGGCCAGAAAATTTTAGAAAATACTCAAAATTAAAAGACAAAAGTTCAAGTTTGATATTGGATATGATAAAGCAACTATCGGGGATCAAGAATATGTAATTCTTGTGTATATTTAATTCGTTTTATTTATTTTTTGAAATTTTGGCCTTCGTGATCATTTTCAGCTTTTAATTTTGAAAATCCCACGAAAACTGCAAAAATTGTAGAGATTGGTCCAAAACCGGATTTGTAAGTTTGGCGCCACACCATGGCGCCAAATATGAATTTTACACGGAAATATGAATAAATCCTTCATTAAGGGTGCAAGTAGATTGTAAGAAGCATAGCACCGGACACGACACCCACCTTGATAGTGTCCCTTGTAACCCATTTTCGCCCTATTAAGGCCGAAATAAATGACGGTTGGCCATGCAAAGAATATATTTTCTATGGGAAATATTAATTACATAAATATTAAAACAAGAAAACTTTATTGTTTGATTTGCATTTAAATTTCATTTATTTATTTGGCAATTTTAGTTTTTGCATACAATTGGCGAAATACACATTCATTTTATGTATCTCCTCTCGATTTCGGTCCTGACTGCTCTTCGCCTCAAAAATTATTTTCCTTGGCCCATTCAACCACCACTTCGGCGCTCTTATCTGCTGGAAAAACTGGATAAAAGACCTTCAAAACGACTCCATCCTTAATCACAAGTGTGACACGTTTGACCAAAACTCCGCACTCGGGAGCTTCGAAAGTTGGCAGGTTTAACGCCTCAATAAATTCTCTCTTGTCATCGCTCAACAAATTGAATGGAAGATGTAGCCGTTCCCAGGCTTCAGCTTGATAAGCCAAAGACGCGAGTCACGCCAAGTTTTTGTAACTCCTTTAAGTGATTCTTAAACGAGCATGATTGCAAAGAGCACCCCATCGCTCCAGGGATAAGGGCCCATCCGTCCGGCAAGGGCACGTTGGGTTGTCCCGTTCGTGGATAGCAGTAAATCACCGTGGTTCCCGAAAGGGTGGATAAGTTGACGGAGGAGCCATCCGTTGCTGGCAAGCTAATCGATGGGATTGGAGTCCCTGGAACAAGATGGTCACACTTTCCGTCGTCTTCCGGTGCGGGAAGATTTGTCTCGAGTGGGATTGATGTTGTCGTCATGATAGCAATCTGAAATTTGTTTTTAATACACAATGAAATTATAATTGTAAAAAAATTATGATTAAAATGTTTATTTATTCTAATCTATTAATTTATTCTATTTGTTTATTTTATTATAGAAACCAAATTAAGGATTAATGGATACTCTGTCAATAAAGTTGAGTGAAATTGCCACCAAGACAACTATTGAGTAAAATTTATCCCGCCAAATTTACTCAAGGTTGACCAAACATCTCTCAAAGTCCGATAAATTTGAACTTTCATTGACTAACTTTGCACAATGTCTAGGTGGCAATTTCACTCAAAATTGAGTAAATATTAATCAAATTTTATTTAGAGTGTACATTAAATTAAATATCCGCATTAATCCTTCATCTGTTAATAAATTAAAAACTTAAATAATTTTATGGCCGTAAACATTAAAATGTTATGATTTGACAATTCGTTGTGACGTTTTTATTTACTTGTTTAAATTTACTTACATCTTTGTACTACGTATTTTTGTAAAACTTTAATGTTTGTGGAACTTGAAAGTGTAAAAATTTTCTAACTGTGTGTGAAACAGTTTTATGTAGAAATTAACCAGTTGGCAACAACAAATCTGTTCGGCTGGAAGAAGAGAAACTCGTCGAGGCCAGTCCTACACGCAAGTATGTATGCATATCCAATGTTTAATATCACAATGTTCTCGTATGCAGATATGCATATACTGGTTTTATCACTTGTTGTGTACATCTGTGGAATGAATGACATTGCATAATTTCATCCAAGGCCTGAGCGGATTAAAAAAGCATGAGTGGAAAGTAGGGTTGTACAACTCCCGCACCCTCCGAATAAACTCCCGTACCTTCCCTCCCTCCCAAAACTCCCAATAAACTCCCTCCTTGCGCCCTAAACTCCCTAATTAATAATTAAACTCGGGGCCTAGATTTAGCTATGTTCATAACTGGTTCATTGATTACCAGCATAGGTGTAGTAGGATTAATGTGCAGTCTCTTTTTTAAATGCGTAAAGTGTAACCGAGTTCGAGACAATAATCCAATCAGCATTGAATTGGAAAATATGGCCTAAAACCTTATACATATTTATTAAGTAGCGCAAGCTACTTTATGCGATCGGTTAGTTAGTCTGTCCGTCCGTCTGTCTGTCCGTCAACACTATAACTCGAGAACGCATCAAGATAATCGAAATCGGTTTGCGGCATCATACATATGACCCCAGGGGGAGGATCCCGGAAACTTTTGGACCACACCCCCTCGGCGCCAGGGGGTGCGGTCCAAAATGCAGTGTAGTGCAGATGCAATCCAGTTAAATTAAATTGTTTTGGCTTAATTTCGGCATTTTTTGGGCGATATGCATGAAATTTAGGCAAAACATGTTTTTCTGTGTTGTCGACATGTCGCAGTATAGAGCATGTGGTCAATTAATTAATTAATCAATCAGTCAATCAATTAATTAATTAATCAATCATTCATCAATTAATTAATCAATCAGTCATTAATTTAATTAATCAATCAATCAGTAATTAATTTAATTAATTAATTTGAGCTTTATAGCGCAAATTAATTCTCAGCATTCTCAGCATTATTGCGCTACTTATGTATCGTGCTTTGCCGCACCTTTATTTTTACGAGTACATGCTCAGTTTATTCAGAGATATTTTCATCATCATTTTCGAACCAAAATTGGAATTTAATTATTTAATTAGTCAACTAATATTATGTAATTCATTTCGTATGCAAATTTTTAAACTCACTTAACGAACTTATTGGGAGACTGCAATAAGCCCTGGTGCTTGCGCAGCTGACGGTCCAGTCTAACAATGGCAGGATCGTCACCCCACCAATACATACATACATAACTAACTTATTAAAGTAGAACTCATTTTAAATATTAGTATTTTAAATATTAAATTTTTTATTTTTTATTTATATTATTTACTAATAATTATGTAACTCTATGTGCCTCGGCTTGGAAGAGTTAAGAAATAAATTCAAAATACAAAATACAAATACAAAAATAATAATTAAACTCCCGGAGTTTTGGAGGGAATATTGGTAGTTTTGGGAGTTTCTGGGGAACATTGAGAATGTTCCTGCGGATATGTTTAAATGAATGCATTTATTATAAATCGTGCTGGAGATAGAAAAGCCCACGGTTTATTAAATTTTGATTCAGGAAGAATAACTAAGGTAACAGAAGATATTTAAATACGAACTGCTATTTCTGCAACAAATTTTTGCAAATCAATCAAGCTTTTAAAGCCTGGAGTGCAGCCTTATTTAGCTAAAGTCATGTTGTTGTTATTAATAATTGAGCGGGTAGTACCGCTACTACACCCTTTCAATTTTTGCGCACATTTTTCTCATCTACGAAGTTAATTTCTAATTTTGCATTTTCTACGTGTGTGCAAAACTTCAAGTCGATTAGATCAGTTGCACGAACGTAATCGGAACACAATGAGACCGACCATCATGTCGGGGACATACGGCCAAAAAATTTTTCTTGCTGGAAAGCTTTGCAAAAAGTTGGGCTGAGTTCAGTTGGCAAAAAACTTGACATATTTTTCGCGAAATGTACTCCTCAGCAACAAACTTGTCGCACATAAAGCTGACAAAATGTTAATTTAATTTCAGCAATGTGGCGCCAAGTTTCCCCGAAAACAAGCACTCGCCGTTCATCTGACCACGCACTCGATGGAGCGACCCCACCCCTGCGACCAATCCTTCAAAACGAGGAACAAGCAGCGCCACCACACGGCGGGCTACGTGACCCCCACGCCGTACAAATGCGCCCAATATGGAAGGTCCTTCCATATTCAGTTCCCGGGCGTCCTCAGGGCGCACGTCCTCCAAGCCCACACGGGCGAGCGTCCCTTCGCCTGCGCCCAGTGCGGAAAAGGCTTCGTCGTCAAGTCCGCGCTGACCCTGCATTTGAAGGGAAACCACGGAATTGGAGTCACCGAGAGAAAGATAGGCTCCCCAGGTCCAAAAGGGACACGTTTCAGGTATTCAGGCAGTAGAGGAAGAAAAAAATTGGGACCCTTAATTTATAAATATTTTTTGTATGTAATTAAGTCCTCAAATTAAATGAAATATTTACTCAGGAGAGAACTTGAAAAATAAGTATTTGCAAATTTACACAAATCCGTTAAAAAAATTGGGAAAAAATCCTTAGAATTGTTTTCGCTCGAACTAATGACTTTGCATTGTTGTTGTTGTATGGTTTATTATTACTGTGTTAAGACATAAATCATTACAATTATTTCCAACATCGAACACAGGTTGCAATAAGTCAAAATATCATAATAACTAAAAAGAGGTGAAAAATTAAGGTGTCGTTTCCGTCAGAGAGAGGTCAACACCCACCCGATAATTTTGACGCGGTGGCGTCTCGAAGTTGAAGGCGTAGGAAGTCAGATTTGAATAAAAAAAGTATATGATATTCATAGGGCGGATATGTATTTACTTAAATTCCTCAAAATATGCATGTGATATGTACTTCAAAAAGTCGAAAATATGCACATTAAAAATGTTTTTCAATTTAAAATTCCTATTATATTTATCTTCGTGAAGATTCAAATTTTTAGTACTCTTATAACCGAATTATAAACCATAAATAGTTATGTACATAAATTATGTGCATACCTGCCACATTTATATTTATTAATCTGGTGCAAATATCGTTTTTCCACGGAAATTTTATATTTTTTTTATTATAAAATAATCCAAAATATTTCACCATCCACAATTTACAACCTTCCCATTTATAAAATAAATGGGAAGGTTTACATTTTTAAATACTGTGAAATTAAAAAACCTATTTTCTTTGTTGTTGCCTTTTACCTGACAGATTCATAACCCCCCTCAACACCCCTCTTACTCAGGACAATTTGCCACAATTGGTACGACCTGGTTTGGAAGAAGGCTTGTGCACAGTTCAAATAAATGTGCCACATTCTGTGAAAGCGTTCCCCATACTTTGGCGCCAATTTGTCCCAATTCTCCTCAAACTTGACCTCCCAGGCGGCCAGGGTTTTGTAATAGTCGTAGCCAAAGTTTTGCCAATCTTCGATTAAAAAGACGTCCTCGATCGCTTTGCAGACTTGCAGATAGTATGGGATGCAGCCGTTCGGGAATATATATTTGTGACACCAGTAGTCGAAACCGAGAATGTTCCTGTCGTTGTTTCCGATCGTGTGGAGGAGCATGAAGCCATCGTCGGTCAGACAGCGGTTGCAAACTTTGAAGAATTCGCGGTAATTTTTGTGTCCGACGTGTTCCATCATTCCGATGACGGCGATGCGGTCGAATTTTTCGTTGAGGTCGCGGTAATCGCAGATTCGAAATTCGACCGGGAGGCCGTCGCAGAGTTTAGTGGCGTGTTGGATTTGTCCCTTGGAGATTGAGATTGCGACGACGGAGACGCCATAGTGTTTGGCGAGGTGATAGTCCAGGGCGCCATAGCCGAACCCGATGTCGAGGACTTTCATGCCAGGTTTGAGTTTGAGTTTGCGCGCGACGAGGTCCATCTTGGCGATTTGGGCGGATTCGAGATCGCTGGAGTTTCTCCAGTAGGCGCAGGTGTAGAGGAGGTTTTTGCACAGGATGGTCTCAAAGAGGTCGTTTCCTGCGGGGGAGAAGAAATGGTTAACCTTTTAATGTGTATGAAATAAGTGATTTCATAAAATAATTCGTATTTCAAATATATACGAATTATTTAAATAGAAATGTAACAATGTGGGATGATTGTTTGTAAAAAATTAAATGTTAAATTGGCTGGAAAAATTGTTTTAGTGGATATTAAAATTTTTTAGACTGGGTAACCATTAAAACCCACTCAGCCAGGAAATTGTAGTCTTATCGAAGTTCTAAATTTTTAATTGGGAATTACAAATTTTGAAACGGACAAGATCCTCAATATCGCGGTTACAGGTACAGATAAATTTTAAAAAATTGAAAAACAGCAAATTTGAATTGAAAATTTCCCGCGTGAAGGGTTAATATGAAAGTAAATATTGCCCTCACCCAAATCGTAATGTTCCGCCCCGACCTGCCAAGCTTTTGATCGACTCTGCAGATTAAATCTGTCCAGTATGGTGGACAGCGGGTGCATAAAGGCCAACGTCTTGGTCGACTGGAGTCCACTGATCGCCATGGCTTTGACATCGTTGATCGTGCACACTTTGTCCATGTGGGCTTCGAACAGGCCCGTGTGTCGCCCTACGAAGAGGCGGAGGTAGAATTCCTTCTCGTCATGGACCCTGATCCCCAGGGGACCCTTGCCCTCCGTATTGTGCCCCAGTTTGCCCAGTTCTCGATCCACGTACCACTTGACCATTGGGAAGATTATGCGGATGACGAATCTCGCCATGAACTCGTAGAGGTCGAAGCCCTTGAATATACTCCAGCACGTTATTTCTTGGACTATGTCCATGGTGGGGGGTATAAATAGGCGAGACCACCAAGTCTGGTGGAATATTTGGTTTTGAGAGTTATTTTTTTGGGACGTTGCACCCCACGGAGCGACTCTGGTGAACTGATTGAGTTTGAATTTTTAAATAAGGCAGGCGTTGATTGTTGGGGGTGGTGGTGACGAAATAGTGAAGTTTTTTAAGTCCTCGTTAAAAAAGTCAGGTACATTTATACATAAGTCTTGTCTTTTGTTTGAGAGGTAAATATGAGGTACTTTTTGTATGGCAAGACTGAAACTTTGTGAGGTGTGTAAATTCAAGTTTTTAATTAATTATGTGTGTAGGATGCAGACAGGGATTGCATCACAGGAATAATTTTTGATACGGCACGTGTTACAAGTTTATTTAAAGGTCTGGCTCGATTGAGATAGTGGCGGAAGTGGAGCGAGATTGGAAGAAATCTTATAAGGAATTACTAATTAGGTTAACACAGAAATAAATTAGAGCAAGAATTTATTACATGATGAGGTTGGGGTTTATGTCTTGTGCACATAACCTTAGACAGAATTTGGACAGGCCGCGGAGGGTGTGGGGACTTCAGCAGGGTTCGGAAAAACCCAGGGTTTTAATCAGAAACAATAAAACCCATGGGTTTTAATGGGTTTTACTATGTTAAGTGGGTTTTATTTGGGTTTTATTGGGTTTTATTGGGTTTTATTGGGTTTTATTAGGTTTTTAGTAATAACGTGACAAAAATAATTCACAATTATTGCAAATTCAATCCCAATCATATACAATCCCTTTGTCCATATTGGAATTTGTATCGATTCCGAAATTATATTTTTTGTATAAAATTTGAAATCTGTGATGCTAAAGGATGGAGTCAATTGTTGATTTCTTCCGGATTTTCATGTGTTATTATAGTGATGAAATAAACTGCTTTGGGATAACGTCTTCTAACGTATAGGAGACATATTTAACTTTCAGAATGTAATTTTAAACCAAAACTCAATTAAAACCCAATAAAACCCAATAAAACCCATTAAAACCCAAATAAAACCCACTTTACATGGTAAAACCCAATGGGTTTTATTCATTTACAACCCATTAAAACCCAATAAAACCCAATAAAACCCAGGTCGGAATACCCTGGACTTCAGTGGGAAGCGGAGCTTGTTAGAATTGAAGTCAGATTTGGTTAAAAATTTCTATGGGGAATAATTTATGTGCCCCCCCCCCCACACAGTTTTGCCACCGGTGAAATTAAGAGTGTTGGGAATCCTTCGTCAGTAATGAGTCAAGGATGAGGGCAGATTGGGGTACGTGTCTGCCTCTGCCAGTGTCATGGTCTGCAAGATTAAGAGAAATAAAGGCTTGATTATCAAAGTTAGTGTTCTTAGCGGTGGATTTTTTGTGTAATTTGTTTTCCTTGCGTATTTAGAAAATGTGTTGGTGTTTGTGGTAAATGAGTGTTTTAGGAACCCTGACTGACGTATGTATGCGGTTACTTCTTACTGGGTCGTCCTGTCACGGGACAACTAATTGCACAGAGGTTTAGTTATGATTAATATTTTGATTTGGGCAGGTTACAAGATTGGTTAATAATAATAGTGACAATAAATGTGGGTGAGTTTGGTGCAAGTTAATTTTTATGGCAGCGTTTTATGAGCTTTGTTATTTATAAGAAATGGATCGGGTTTAAGTAGAACTTTGAGGGTGCTAGTTATTCGAGTTTTATTATTTTATACGGAAATTAAAAGATCGTATTAAGTATAAACAAATGGTTCATACATTGATATATTACTGATCAAATTGTGAAATTATAGTCAGCAGTTGAGGATAAGAATTTGCATTAATTTAATTGCACTTATAAATATTGATTAAGTGTGTACATAAATTACGAAGTGTGTAGATGGAACATGTCCAACTAATTGGGATGGAGATTGGCAAAGAAGGAACGAACATATCTACATACTTATGCACAGGCAAAGTGCGATATCATACACAGGCAAAGTTTAACGGTCAGTAAGTACATATCTGCTCGTTAGTGTGGAACTCTTGTGTGGGTAAAGCAAGAGTGTTGAGTGTCCCGTTCTGGTTGGATTTGCACCCATCTTCCATACAGCTTAACTGCAGACTACAGAATTTTGGGTGTACTCACGTTATACCAGAATGAGAGATTTCGTCATCTCGCCTTTAAACTATGAAGCCACCACATGATTGCAACCGTCGTTTCTCATTCATACGTTTTAACTACACTATTTATTTTCTCCACATTACGAAGGTTGACGTGAATTGTCTCAATATCTTATGCTTTATAAAATTGATGTAATTCACAATTTCACCTCGACTTTGACAGCATACCTAACTATAGATTTTAAATAAACCTGAATAGCAAAAATTACCATTATGGCATCAAAATTTCGCATTTTTTCATTTTCAAAATAGCAAACATTACCATTATGGCATCAAAATTTCGCATTTTTTCATTTTCAAAATAGCAAACATTACCATTATGGCATCAAAATTTCGCATTTTTTCATTTTCAAAATAGCAAAAATTACCATTATGGCATCAAAATTTCGCATTTTTTCATTTTCAAAATAGCAAACATTACCATTATGGCATCAAAATTTCGCATTTTTTCATTTTCAAAATAGCAAACATTACCATTATGGCATCAAAATTTCGCAGTTTTTCATTTTCAAAATAGCAAACATTACCATTATGGCATCAAAATTTCGCAGTTTTTCATTTTCAAAATAGCAAAAATTACCATTATGGCATCAAAATTTCGCATTTTTTCATTTTTAAAATAGCAAAAATTACCATTATGGCATCAAAATTTCGCATTTTTTCATTTTCAAAATAGCAAAAATTACCATTATGGCATCAAAATTTCGCATTTTTTCATTTTCAAAATAGCAAACATTACCATTATGGCATCAAAATTTCGCATTTTTTCATTTTCAAAATAGCAAAAATTACCATTATGGCATCAAAATTTCGCATTTTTTCATTTTCAAAATAGCAAACATTACCATTATGGCATCAAAATTTCGCATTTTTTCATTTTCAAAATAGCAAACATTACCATTATGGCATCAAAATTTCGCAGTTTTTCATTTTCAAAATAGCAAACATTACCATTATGGCATCAAAATTTCGCAGTTTTTCATTTTCAAAATAGCAAACACGAAAAATTTGAGATCAGGATATAAAATAAATAAATAAATGTAAATAAACGTCTGTAAATAAAAGACGATGTTTGAAAATATGCAAATTTTGTCATTCTTTCTGAAGACTACATATACATTTTGAATTTAGTTGTTTTTGAAATCCATGTTTAAAAACACGGTAGACATATATATTCGTTTTTATGAGGTTTACAATTCGTTAATTTTTATCTGAATCGCACTTCAGTTTAATTTGAAGGGAGAAGGTTGTTCTGAAAAATATGCAAATTTTTTAAATAATGGTTTTCATTTTCAAAGCAAATTTCTTATTATCCAGAGACATGAGTGGAAAAACTGCTATTTGATCAAAATTAAAATGTAGGTTACGAAAAATTCCTATTTTTATTTCAGTATAAAACTTGGTAAAATTTAAACAAAATTACTAAATCTCAAATGCACAGCAAGTATTAAACTATTCAAATTTTGCTATTCAAATTTTGAAAATTATCTATTCAGATGTCATTTATAATGGTTCTCGTTTCAAATTTCAATTAAATTTAATTTTCAAATAATGAAAAACGTTAACCCTTCAGATTCCAAATATTGATTACGATTTGCGATTTGCATAAAAACCGGGCAAAACATGTTTTTCGGTGTTGTCGACATGTCGCAATATGGCGACTAAGGTTTCGACACTTTTTTTCGACATGGTTTGTCGCCATGGCTTAATTTCGGCATTTTTTGGGCGATATGCATGAAATTAGGGCAAAACATGTTTTTCGGTGTTGTCGACATGTCGCAATATAGCTATTAAGGTTTGGACACTTTTTTCGACATGGTTTGTCTCCATGGCCTAATTTCGAAGTATAGCGCATGGCATGTGGTCAATTAAAGGTAATTAGTTTATCTTTAATTAATTCGTTTTTAGGCATTATTAAAATTTGAATCGGGGAATTATTTGCTTTATATTGTGAAGCATTCTAAGCATTTCTGAGCTAATTATGTATCGTGCTTTGCCGCACTTTATTAAAAATAAATAACATCATACTTATGTAACTTATGTGAACATGTGCAAAGTAGAGAAGTATTTGTAAATCTAAAGTACTGAGAGTGACACGACTTTGCAGGTAATCCATGGAAATAGTAGCATTTTGCTATTGACGTCAGAAGTCAAAAGTAAATAAACTGATTATTTTCAGGTACAGAGTTCAACTTCGTAGTAGGTAAGATTCATTGTGCTTGTTGAATTGTGTGTTGATTAAATAGTTTAATGTTTATACGCATTTACGAAATGCAAATTTACGTATTCCAATCTTTGTGAATTGATGTGTAATGCTTTGTACCCAGTTGTCACGTCCGTCTATGTTCTTCTTTATGAAATACAGAGAGTATGTGCATAACGCTGTTCTGTTTCTGGGCGCAAATTCTGATGTTTATGGATTTAAGTTAGCATTGTTATAAGTACATAGTATTGCTAGTTACTTAGTGTCAAATGACACTAGGAAAATAAGATTGGGAAAGGAATGATGCATATGTAAGTACGTTTTCCCTGGTTTTCTGGGAAACTAAATTTTTGATAATTGACAAATTAAAACTGGGTCCATCAAGATCTGAATATTACGTGAAAAAAACTGCCTAGTTAGATTAGACCACCTTATAATGTAGAACTTAACGAAGACATTAGTAAGCAGGGGATCGTGGAAACTGTGGAGTAATGAAAATCTAAACATAGACGCAGCCGGAATTTGTTATATAAGTATGAACAGATGATGGGAACATCTAACGAGGGGACATGTTCATGGTGACACTGTGATCGGGCAGAGGCAATAAGCAATAGATGACTACCTTCATACAATTGTTCATTAGCCTATTGTTCCCACTGTTTAGGTAGACCTACGTGGTTCCACGGTCAACGCGAAACAGTCTAGTTAACCCGTTAAGGACCAATGACTACACATATTTGTGTAGTTTCAAATTTTTCGATGACAACCAGAAACCAAGGAAAAAATGGAAAAATTCGATTGTAAAAAGTGGAATTTTTGTAGACTTTTTCTACCAAAAATTTGAAATTTTCCTATACCAACGCCATGTAAAAAAGTGGATTTTTCGAATTTTTCACGTACTTTTCCATATTTCTGAGATTTGTCATCTGAATTAAAATGGTGGCTAACGAATTTTGAAGTTCTTTTTGTGGGAGCGAATGGGTTAATTAGTATTTTCCTAATTTTATTGAATTATACTTGCATCGATAAATTTAACATTGCAATTAATAAATTTTGCGTATGTCCTGCTATTTAAGTAGTTATGGTGGGAGACTTAAGCAGCCGTTACGGACACGGTAACCCTGCCACAGAGCATGAGTGCCTGGGTAGCCTCGTTGAACACTTCAGCACTGACGGGAGCAGTGTTCCCCACGAGGAGGCTGGAGGGTGTGATGGACCACCGGATCGTGTATTGGGAACCCGGAACAACGGACGAGTTTGGAAGCGTACTGTCAATGATGACCACAGTTTGCCCCATGAAGACGGTCGAGATCTTGAGACGGAGCTCTGCCGCGGCCTCGGCGGGAATAATGTCAGCCTCGGAGGGATACGCGGTTCCCACGACCATGTGGGCGATGGGGCCTTGACAATTTTCGATCCTTACCTCGCGAACCTCGCCAGCGCCACCTGGGGAAATGAGAGATATAGCTTTTAAATGGGCCGGCGGGATATTAATTTACATTGTAAAGGGCAATTAATACTGGCGGGCTAAGAATAGTTTTGTTGAAAATTGAGTAAATATATTACCACAGGGCTGGTGTTCAACCACTCCGGCGGAGCAGGCGACAATGCAGAAGGCAATGATGGCGAAGGTCTTCATTTTGTGGGAATTTTCTATTCTTTTTACAGGATAGGCCTGAAGTAGGAGAAGTGGACTGAATTTGTTTGGCATCAAAACTCCTCTTTTATAACGGGTTGATTTTTATACAAGTGGTTACTTAATACTCGTTCTGGGTCATGAATACTTGGGATTTAGATATCTTATCGGTTTCCCTTATGTGGAAATTGTGTAGGGTTGCCAATGAGGCGTGATACGATACATGTTTAAACATGCCGGTCTCACATCGCGGCAACCACTGTATGTATAACTAAATACAGAGATCATCCACGTGGTTTAGGAAGCGCCAAGGTTTGAGCGTGAAAAGCGATCAGGGTTTCCTTCGTTGTGGTCCCTAGTTAGGGTTTTGCTCCCATTTGGAACAAGCCTTACATATTAAAATCGAGAATGGCGGCAAACATGAAAGGTCGGTGAGGTTAGGCTTAAATTTGCCATTTGAATCTAACCAATATGTGGCGGTAGAATAACGTCCTACCTTGAGATAAGAGGCGTGATTTCGTCCGCTGCATATGTGAGATCTCGTCAAATTTACATATTTCCCGCCTTGTTTAAAACTTTTGTTTTAATCATATTCTCACCGGCAACCCTAGCTGCTGGAATGTCCTGACGCAAGAGTTGATTTACGCAATCATGTAATCAAACCCGATATTGTTGGGATTTGGTAAATGATTTATTTATGTTAACCTAGCAGAGTAAAAACATTTAAGAGTGGTAATCAATCCATCAAAGTAGAAAATGAGGACAAGGTTCAGCCAGATAAATATGTACAGGAATTTAATTGTTTAGTTTACAATTCTGTAAACTGTGTTATGTTTAAACTGGGTCTGCATAGATAACTAATCCATAATTGACAATGCAATTATTGAGATGCATAGTTCAATTTATGTATTTATGTATTCAAATCTCTAAATCTTTAAAATGGTATACTAGGATTTTACTTTATTTTTGATTGAGATAGCCCACGAGAAATCGGGGCGATGGCAGTATTTAGAGGGGAAATGATCAAATACTAATTTTTAGATCAGAATATGGAGCGAACTGAAATGGCTCCTTTGGAATGGATCCTCTCACTAGTTTATCTAACGTGCAACCGTTTATTAGGAATGTATTACATACATGTTGAACCCAATGATATAGATTATCATTCAATTTTACACTGTTATAAACATAATTGGGTCGCAAATATAATCTGATTTGCATAAGCAAACTCCATTTATTTGCAAAACAGCGTATTCTGTTTGTAATCAGTTCGCTTTAATGTGAAGTAGTGCCCACCTGACCTTATCTTTTCTGCTTACCAGTCCATACATAGAAATATTCGCAGAATATGTATCTTATCTAATTGATAAGACCCATTCTATCTCGTAAACTAACTCTATTCAGTCACTCGAAGAATATCTACATATTTGCCGTTAGTTAACTTATTGAGTTTGGTCAATTTGCCTAAAAATGATTCCGCTGACAATTGGAAGTTGTACCCTAACAGATATTTTAGGACGGGGCAGTTATGGCGTCGTCTTTAAGGCAGAAAGAGTCGAGTCGAGGACAAACTTAGCTATTTTTAAGTTGGGGGATTGCGTGGTTGAACTCGAGACGACATTTGCGATCAAAATCACACCTCAACTAAAGTATAATGAGTTCGTGTTCTTCGCCCAGACTTGCCATCCCAACATTGTCCGTTGCCACAACGCTTACATTGTAACAGACGAAGCAGAGACGTTGCTAAGAAATGAAGAAATTGCAAAAATGTTTTCCGATGATAGCTGTGTAACGGAGGATTCCGCAAATGGAAGCGTGGACTTGGGGAGATTTTGTATTTTCGAAATGGAGCTTTGCACTGAAGGAAGTTTGGATAAGTACTTGGACGGCAGGAAATCCAAGGGGTGGGTATACATATATCTAAATTTTCATGTTAAATAAATTCTTAAAAAGTGTGTTTTCTGAGAATAATTAACTATGGTTAATCTAACAAAGGCGCAGCATTTTCTTGCTGAAAGGTTATGTGGGCTAGAATATATAATTTCACATTTTTGAAACTTGACCTAGTTCGCCTGCTGTGAAGGTAACAAGGTCAAAAATTACCACATTTCCATTGTTCGTAAAAATTGACTGTCGCCAAATGTTATTGAAAATTTCGAAATTAAACAACTTGGGGTGTGTCAAAATATGACCCGTGGGGCTTCTAACAAATTGTGGGTGTGGCCGGGGGTGTGGAAAAAAATAAATCAGGTTTAAATTTCTGAGTTCTACCGTTCAGGGGTGTGAAAATATCAAAATCCTACCAGGGCCACACCCTCTGACGACATTTACATTAGCGGATATCATTCTTGAATCCACACCCACGGGGGTATGCCCATCAGCGCCTTTGGCGTTAATCAATTGAAGTACCTAATGCGACACCAATAATTTATCGGGATGGAATGGGGACCCCGATGGTGATGTCCAATCACAATAAACCACACCCCGAAGTGGGTGTGCCTTCGGGAACTTTGGCTAATACCTTCACAAAGCATGTCACGCGACGCAAATAATTTATCTCAATCTAAAGGGGACCCATATTATCACGTCCAATTACAATTATGTAGACCCGCACCCCCAAGTGGGTGTGGTTCTCAGCGACTTTTCCCACTGATCAGATCCATGTCATGTGACATGTCATTCTTCTCATCTTGGTGTTTAGATCTCGACTAAATATCTAAAATTTGAAATCTACATCCCCAGTGGGCGTGGTCTCGGCGCCTTTCAATTTTATCGAAACATTGTCATGTAATATATCATTTTTCCCAGATCGACAAGGAGATGCAAATATTTCCAATTTTTTACTGGTTAATTTATTTCAAAATATAAACCACCTCCCCCCAAGGGGTTTGGCCCACGACGTATTTTATATTTTATTGGACACATGGGTTGTGATATATCATTTTTCTCAGGTCAATGAGGAGCCCGATTGAGGTACTGAAATATAAGAACCACACCCCCTGGTGTGTGGTCGTCACCGAGATTCCCATACAAACGAAATTATGTCATGTGTGATGTCATTCTTCTCAGCTCGGAAAGGGGAGTGAAATTGAGAAATCTAAATTTAGAAACCACACCCCCACGGGAAGTGGTCCCCGACGTAAATCAAACCATGTCGTGTGATCTTGCGTTCTTGTCAGCTGAGTAAGGAGATTTCTCTGAATAAGGTCTGGTTTAAATATCAACGTCGGGGACCACTTCCCGTGTGGGTGTGGTTTCTAAATTAGACATCATCATCGGGATCCACATTCCATCTCGATAAATTATTGGGGTCGCACTAGGTACTTCAATTGATTAACGCCAAAAGCGTTGGTAGGCACACTCCTGTGGGTGGGGATTCAAGAATGATATCCGCTAATGTAAACGTCATCAGAGGGAGTGGCCCTGGTAGGATTTTGATATTTTTCACACTCCTAAACGGTATCGGATCGTGTATCGGCTCGCGGTACTTTTCATCCGCTTGTATCGTGACCTGTATCGGATCGCGGTACTTTCTATCTGCTTGTATCGCGTCCTGTATCGGCTCGCGATAGTCGCGATACTTTCCATTCAGCTGGATCAGATCACCCCAAATTATAATAGAAGCTCAAACTGGACATATGAAGGATCCACGAGCATATGCAATCACTTCCATGCAATTTGCATTATGCAAACCCAAGAACACTAATTTTTTAAACTCAAATTAAGTGTGATATATCTTTCTAAATGTTAAATTTAACTATAGTTAGTACTAATTACATATACACATCAGTAGATAGCTGGTGGCCAACTTTACTAATCAAATTACAAAATATCCCTTCTGGGCTATTACGAAAACTCCTGTGTGACCAACTACCTAGGTAGTGGGTCGCACAGGTGAGGTGACAAATAACAATAACAGAATCTTTATTTCAAAATCTATTCTTCATCTCCTGCAGATTTGTACTTCTGGAATTTGAGTGATAGCTTTTCCAGAAAAAAATTGACCTCATAGAATGCATTAGCATCTTCTTTGACATGAGTAGGCAAATCCCTCATTACGGTCATTACGAATGTGAGGAACTCGTGCAGCTAGGCAATGAATGAATGGGGGCAGATGCTAGATTCTTCTTTCATGAGTAAAATATGATTTCTCCTTATCCCCATCAGGAACTCTGAATCTTCATCAAAATAAGTATGTCGTAATTCAGACAAATCCATGTAGTCGATCAAATGCAAAGCAATGTTGCCGTCACTATTATTCTAGCATAAATAAACCGTTGTAACGGCAGAAGTAGCTCGCCCTCTAATATTTAATGGGACATAACTTTTACATAATCTTCAGTCAAACATAGTGTAATTTATATATCGGATGCACAGAAAAAGTTTTATCAATGAATGAACACAAATAATAATAACAACCTCCGTACACAGCTTTGCTTAGCCCGAGCCAGGGGTGCGCAGTATGCAATATGCAAAATAATAAAGATTTTTCCAGACAGACGTGTTATCTACTAAACCACATTACAACCATGAAATCCAACCAAAAATATAATGCGCTTTAAATTTGGTGCTAAATCAACCCGCTCAAAAGTGTCGCGTTATGAAGCACCTGATATGAACACATATGCAATACCCAAAAGTTTGAAGAGTTATCCTGACGTCAGATACAATAGGTCGGACGTGAGGCAATACCAGTATGAATCCTCAAATATTTCATTTTTGCATTAAAATTTCGAGTAATGAAGCACATGGTTGCCACTAGGGCCACCATATTTTTCAGCGCAAAACAAAGCCGAATTTAAATGTTTGAAATTTGGTGCAGGATAACCTCATAGGGTGTATTCAAGTGACCCCCACAGGTCAACCACTGGACCGATGTGGCTCATCTTCGAACTCGATACTTCATTTGGGTCGATATAGATGTGGTAAAAATTTCAAGTCGATCGATTGAGTTTAAAGTGAGTTATCGTGTCTTCGGACAGACAGACAGACATACAGACAGACATAACGGGTAAATAAACCGTTGTAACGTTAGAAGTAGCTCGCCCTGTAATAAGTGAGAGAATAAGTGGGTGGACAATTTTGACATAATCTTGACCCAAACGTTAGGTTAAACGTTAGGTTAAACTTTTGGTGCGTAGTGTATCAATTCTCCCAATTATCTCGCACCACTTTGTGTTACCGCCTGTTCGAGACCAATGGTGCTACTAATTTTGGCATAATTTTGCATTAATGATGCAGAATAGGCGGACAAAAGATATACATAAGTGTGCCATAATTTTTCACCAACGGTGGAAAATAAACGAGAAAAATCGATCCAGAATTTTGACATAAAATCCTGCGAAATTCGAAGTAAAAATTCTAGTATTTCTTTAGGTTCTTATGCACGTTTGGTGTGTTTTGCATCTATTTTCTCAATTTTTTGGCACCATTTTGTGTTACCGCCTGTTCGAGACCAATGGTGCTACTAATTTGGTAAAATTTGCACATGGGGCAAATTAATCAGCATCAATTGATGCAAAAAACTCGTTAACAGACAGACAGACAGACAGACAGACAGACGGACAAGAGGAATTCAATAGCTCCTCTGCTACGCAGGGCGAGCTAATAAATAAATGTTTTTGACATAATTTTGCATCAATAGTGGAAAATAAGCGGGGAATATACATAGATCCATAAAATTGACATAAAATCGACTTTTCCTGGCTGAAAATGCGAGACAAAGTGCATCGGGATATTCTGCACTTTTGGTGCGTATTGCCTAGACTCTCTCGATTGTTTGGCACCATTTTGAGTCACGGATTGTTCGATATCATTGGTGCTACTAATTTGCTAAAACTTGCACATGGGGCAAATTAATTAGCATCAATTGATGCAAAAAACTCGTGAACAGACAGACAGACGGACGGACAGACAGACGGACGGACAGACGGACAGGAGGAATTCAATAGCTCTCTTGCTACGCAGGGCGAGCTAATAAGCCCTGGCTCGGGCTAATAAAAACTGAAATAAAATGAATATAAATTTCATTAACTGGGTCGTAACCTGACCTGGTTACCTGATGAACGGGAGTGGCGACCTGTCTTGGGCTTGTAGAGAACCGAAACCCAGTTGGTGTTGTGTCTAGCACTTTGCAATTAATACGAGCTCTTCATACCAATGGTGCAGAATATTCGTAAGAGGCATAATTTTGATGTAATTTTGCACCAATGGTGGAAAATAAACCTGGGAAAAGTAACCATAATTTTTGCATTAATCTTCACAAACTTGAAGGAAAAAGTATAGTTATTTTTTCCGGCTTTTCTGCGCATTTGGTGCGTTTTGCATCTATTATCTCAATTGTTTGGCACCATTTTGAGTCACCGATTGTTCGATATCATTTGTGCTATTAAGTCGGTCACGAATGCCAATAACTCGCTTTAATTAACATCAATTGATGTAAAAGAATCGTTAACAGACAGACAGACAGACAGACAGACAGACAGACGGACAGGAGGAATTCAATAGCTTCCATGCTCCGCAGGGCGAGCTAATAAGTGCATGTTTTTGGCATAATTTTGCACCAATGGTGCAGAATTGGCAGATAAAATAGATACGCAATTTTGGCATAATTTTGCATTAATGATGCCGAATAGGCGGACAAAAGATATACACAATTGTGACATAATTTTTCACCAACGGTGGAAAATAAACGAGAAAAATAAATCCAGAATTTTGACATAAAATCCTGACAAATTCGAAGTAAAAATTCTAGTTGTCTCTTTAGGTTCTTATGCACGTTTGGTGTGTTTTGCATCTATTTTCTCAATTGTTTTGCACCATTCTGTGTTACCGACTGTTCGAGAGCACTGGTGCTACTAATTTGGTAAAATTTGCACATGGGGCAAATTAATTAGCATCAATTGATGCAAAAAACTCGTGAACAGACAGACAGACGGACAGACGGACAGACAGACAGACGGACAGGAGGAATTCAATAGCTCTCTTGCTACGCAGGGCGAGCTAATAATTTATCGAATTATAAATTATAAACAATGCGTTTATGCGAACCTGAGTTGAGTAATCGCTTCAACCAATTTATGATAACGAACCGAACAGGTGACGAAATTGAAAATCAATTAACTGACTGGGATTACATTAATCCCAGTCAGTACATCTCTCTAAATATTTTCAATTATTTTATGTATCGTAAAACGCGTGCCGATCCACGAGCCGAGCCGAGCCGATACCGTCAGGTATCTTGACCTGTATCGGCTCGCGAAACTTTCCACCCCTTTGTATTGTATCGTGGCTCGGCTCGCGGTACTTTTGAATCCCTTGTATCGGATCGTGGATCGGATCGCGAAGCAAAAGTTACATGTGTGATCCCAACCATCGCACAAAGTGTGTCAAGAAACGTTGGTTGTATTGACGGGGACTGCACAATTCCACAATTTCAGCCAAATCGGAGAGTTGCACTTCACACCATCGCATTGTCAGTAATTTAACCATGATTAATTTTTTCCACACCCCCAGCCACACCCACATTTTGTTGGGTGTGTTTGATGCCCCACAGGTCATATTTTGACACTCCTCAAGTTGTTTAATTTCGAAATTTTCAATAAAATTTGGGGACAATCAATTTTTACGAACAATGGAAATGTGGTAATTGTTGACCTTGTGACCTTCACAGCAGGCGAACGAGGTCAAGTTTCAAAAATTTGAAATTATATTGTCAAAAATATTGGTTCTCTTTTAGTTTTAGAGTTGTGAGAGGCATCTATGTCTTAAGTGTTAATTAATGTCTCGTGGGATTGAAGAGTTGAAGGATAGTTTTTAAGTGTAGACTCACTTTTCGTTTGTATATGCTTTGTAGTAGAAGTCTCGTAATTTGGTACAGTTAAAAGTATTAAAAGCTAATTATTTGTGGGTCAATTAATGTGCTATTGAATAAAACCCCTTGTAATTGTATAGAACTTGAGTCTGTGTGATTTATCTCATCGGTCATTTATCGAAACGAACCGTCCGTTCAGAACATATATATTCTAGCCCATGCCCCAAAGCTTCCAACACATTTCGAATTTTGCAAATCGGTGTAGAATTACAAAAATGGCTTAATTTCAAAATTCCAATGCTTATAAGCACTGGGAAGATCGGCAAACTCGTTTAAGCAAAATTCTACAGCCAAATGCTGCGGTATTTGTAGATGAAGCATACTTAGGTTTACCGAAACGTAGGTAATTATGACCTGTGCATTAAAAAAACATCAAATTCTTCTTCATCATGAAATTTTAAAAACAAACTCCGTCATTTCTTGAGCAATTTTCAAAATTAAAAATATTTTATATTTTGAAAATCAGCCAACAAGTGGCGGAGTTTTTCAACTTCAAAATTACATGACGAACAAGAATTTGCTTAGAAAATTTTTAATGCAAAAACAATAGATACGTTTTTAACTATCTAAAAAATACTTCGATTTAAAAAAAACTTTATTTTAAATCGTTATCATGGTTTCAAATGAAAAATATGTTTTTCAGGCCATGTAAGGCGGAAAGCATGGTTCTCTTTTGTCAACTTGTCGAAGCCTTTGTCTACCTTCAAACAAAGAAAATTGTCCACGGGGACCTAAAGCCTAACAACGTTTTGCTTTCGAGGAAAGATTCTTTATTAGTGGCAAAATTGGCCGATCTAGGCCTGACGATGCAAAATGGGGGAATTGACGAGTTTATGAAAACGTTGCAAGACGGGGACAACCACAATGAAACTGCCGAAATATCAAATAGACGCCTATTCCTCTCTCCTGAGCAAGCTGCAATGCACCTTGCCACAAAACCCATTCACTTCGGAATCCACCAAATTGACGTCTACTCCTTAGGACTAATCTGGCTCTGTCTTCTGGCACCAACTGAAAAGTCATACAATGAAATCAAGGGGTACGTTATCGACTGCATGTTACCTCCAGCTGAACGAATAACCCCTGACTTCATTGTTGACCAACAACTGCAAAGCGAATGGGCTCGAATTTCGCGAATGATTGATCATGACGCCACCCGTAGACAGGGAGCGAGTGACATTCAATCTTTTATTGATATGCATACTAATTATTTGAAGTCACCTCCACCGCCCGTTGAGGCCAAGTGCATCCTTTCCGCTCAACGCAGTAGAATTGATCGCATGCAAGGCATTTGATATGGTACAAACACTTCCAAAGGAAACAGCTGAAAGACTGCCAATAGTGAATAATTTACGAAAAAGAGACTACCATCTTGCATTGGACATTCTGCATGAAGCTACAACCTACCCCGGCTTTGGGATTAAACCTGATGACCCTCTGGTGCAACAATCGCTGAGAAATTTAAATACTGTGTTCAACAAAAGGGAGACCCGCAAAGGGGACATGTGCTATATTTATAAAAAACTCGTGAGAGACATACAACTCAGAGGGCTCGATCATACGCAAAACGAGTATTTTTTCAGCGTACGTGCATATATAGCGAACCTAGTAGTTATATCGTAAAACATAACTTTTACATTTTCAGATTTATGGAAAACTGGCCACATCCCTGACAGGCTACAGGGATGAGTTCAAGGACGAAGGAATGACACTTTTATCAAGTTTAATCCACAAGTTTGATCCAAGAAACACCGTGGCAGTAGGTCTACTCTTGACATATGTGTCTAAGACATTAGGACCGAAACGGGCATGGTATAACAAGGAGGACAGCTCGTCTACCTCGTATTCATTTAGCAACCAGGAAATGTGCCACATGCTATCAAAGTTGGAAGCTTTGTCAGACAAATTACAGAAGAAACATAACTTTTGCATTACATCGGACAAAGTCGCGGCAAAATTGTTCAAAATTACGATGGTAATTTTGAGCCGACTTGGTAAGCACGTCTGGCAGAAAATCTACATAAATCCCTATATAATAAAAATTGAACGACCTCACACAATTTTAGGTAGGAATGATGAAGCTGAAAGCAGGTTTGCTGCCGTTCTGAAAACTCCAACAAATAAGCAAAATGCGGATTGTGCAAAAATTTTCTTAGATTTGCAGCGCCACTACTGTCGATTTCTTATTGACCATTGTGACCGCTATGAGGATGCTGCATCCTACGGAAGGGAAATGTTTAATATGCACATGACCGATAGAGACCTCGCCGAAGCGTCTGTAGATTTAAATTTTCTTATTAGAAATCCCTTCGTAACGGAAGAGGAGGAAAAACTTATGCGTGGTGAACTATGCGAGTTGGCTTTCTGGGTAAAATTAGACGCCACGGTGAATCATCCACTTCCTGATCCAGATAACCTTCGCAAGGCAATTGATATAATTCAGCTAATTCATTGAACCTGTCTTTGTGGCCTTGGAATAAGTGTAAACTCACCATGTATTCCTTCTAATTCATTGTAATGATAATAATTTATAAAATAAAAACACAGTTGGTAAAAACATTAATGTACGCCGCTAGTTCGACACTTTTCATTACACAAAATTACACTGTACACAAATTTGTAACTCTTTTGTCACAGTTTTGTCACTATTTGTCACAATTTGTAACTATTTTGTCATTATTTTGTCACTTTTAAAGCATAATATGAAAGAAGTTTGTTATGCTGTTATACTGCGAATGTTATATTCTAATATTATCACGTAGAACTTGGGAAGTAGAAGTTCATTTTACACTGAATTTTGTTATACTGTTTTACCATGTTAACTCAAAACAGGTACGGCGGCTCGAAAAAGTTATTTACTATGAAGAGAGTTGTATTGTCACGTTGCTAAAGTAGAGATTTTTACCAGTGCCTAGTTTGAAGCCACATGATGAACCAAATTTCTCTTATAATGCTTTGACCGCTACCAGAGTGTTTGGAAGTTTGTAATGGATAAACCGTTTCATACTACCGTTATCATAATGTTGCTACGCGTGTAGTTATTTGGTCAGATTAGAACTAAAAGTGTCAGAATTTTGTGATGGTATTGTACTGCGAAGGATGTTGTGGTGTCATATTGAAAAGTCAAATTTCTGTTATAATGTTTCGACCTAATTATTTTGAATTAGAAGCAATGTAACCCGTTATATTGTGAAATCATGCAGACGATTAACCTGTAATTCTATGGGCCATGAGCCTTGTAAGAATTATTCATTGAATAAATATTATTATATTATTATATTATTACAATTACACTTTACACCAATTACTTGATCGTCATATCAATGCAAGTTGTTGGAGGAACTTCCTTCAATAGAATTAGAGAGCAACAAATATAAGGGTATCTATTTTAAGAAAGACATGTACATATGTATCGGTAGAATGATAATGTGACCAAGGATGAATGATGAATGGGCCAAAATTAAGTAATTGTTTTTTACGTTGACAGATAAGGTGAACTTAAAACTTGATAGGATTCATGATTGGTACAGAAATGGACATTGTGGTTAAATATATTGATTTGTTAAATAATATTTAATACCAGTTTTACAACTCCCTGAAATGAAGATGACTAAATAATTATAGTGTCCATCAATTTAGAACATTTTTATAAGGCTAAGAAATAAAGAATGTTTTCAAGATGACTTGGTTTTGTTGATATTTTTGGTGGATTTTATGAATTTCCTCAAATAAATACACAATTGAACTTCTGTTTGAAATGCGTAAGGTTTGTGTTGTTACTTGGGTAAATAATCTAATTATACCGATATATATATAACTATATATAATTCCAATATTACAAGAATTGAACTTAAATTATATGTAAATTATATGAAATCTAAATGTTCAACATTTGCGAGTAAAATTAATGCATGCACTCGTAAGTCATTAATTGGCTACGTTGCCGAACTCTTGTCTTGAGACACTTGAGATTTGAGATAATGCATGTAAGCAGGTGAGAATTTTATCAAACAAATACACGAACAACACTGTCTGAAACTATGTTAATTTGCGATGTTTGCGTTCCATAAGAAATGATGGGGCGATGGTTTGACACTCTCTGTCAACTTTAACTACTCCACGTTTATATCTTAACGCGTATTCGAGATTATCTTCATTGTTTTGATCTTCAAATTTCTGTTTTACCAGCTTCAGCCGATAGTTTTTAAGTTCTAGTGGGATGAATGGATCATGTTCAGGATCTGTTCGTGCTTCCTCATTGGCGTGTCTTGTATCAGATAACTCCACCATGGGGCGATGCGTAACCTTTCTGTGGACAAGTGGAGATGCTGCGGAGGATTGAATTTGCAAATTACTTTGCAGAATTTATTACTAATGAATCATATAGGCAAGCCATGACGTCTACTCACAAATTGATGAGGTCACCAAGTGCTCAAACTCATCCGACTTGTCTGAGTTTTCCATAGGCAGGCTCAAATTTGTAAGCTCTTTCACCAGAACCAAGTTGTTGCAGCGAAAGGCAAGCTTCCGTCTACTTGTTATCTTGGCATTGGTTTCACATTTGGAATCTATCGAGGTATACTATCGAGGTGTGTTTTGTGTCTAGGGTACCCAGTATGTTTTTTAGAATCTACTAGGACCCTAAATGAAAGATCCATTCACGTTTCCGTGCAAAACCCATATTTGGCGCCGTGGCGTGGCGTCAAATATGGGTCAAGGATGGATAATATCTGCGTTTTCGACCAATTTCAAACCTCGATAAGTTTTGAGGTTCCCTTGAGACTTTCAAACTTTTGGCCATAATCTGATCACAAAGGTCAAGATTATTTAACGAACTAAATAAAAAATACAAATTTTTATTTTTGAGATATTTTTAATAAATATCTCAAAAATTTTAAATTTCAAAATTTACAAAAAATTTAAACAACCAATTTTTTGAAAACTTTCCTGGCATGCGAAAGCTGAACCCTCTGTCATGAATTCAGTAAAAAATTTTGTTTAAAAAATCTTAAAAAGTTATGGCGGTTTAAAAAATAAAAACATTTAAATTTGACGAATTTGGCGCAAAGCAACGGCGCCAGATATTAGTTTTACACGGAAATATCAATGGATCCTTCATCTAGGGTCCCAGTAGATTTTAAAACACCTAGTGGGTACCCTGGACACGAAACACACCTCGATAGTACCTGGTAAGTGAATAATTTATGCATTAAATCAACTTTGTAATTAAAGTTACAACGGACTAGGAAATATTTACCGGTGCAGGTAATGTTTCTGATTTACTACGCATAAGGATGATTAGTGTTGAGCGACCTGTAGCACCCATTTCAACTAATTAAATTCAGTTGAAAAGATGCAAAATCGTGCGAAACACGATTCCTCGTGTGACTTTCCTCGGACTCGGACTTCGTGGCTCCGTATCTTCCACAAAATCGCAAAATGACGACAAGTGCAAAATGAGAAATTTGGGTCGTGCATGGAATTGGAACATTTTTATTATTTGTTTATTGGATTTTTGATATATCTAAACTTAACATGGACCATGCAAGAATTCAAGGAGAATTCAAGTGGTCAAGAATCTGAAAAACGCGCATAGTGTGTGCACTGCCCACTCCTCTACCCTTCATGGCAGAATGGCAGAGCACAGGCTCTTCGGGGAGGTGAGCATGACGGAAATAATCGATTACGAGATGAAATTCAGTAAGTAGTCGGAGGTGACAGAGTTGCCCTGATTTCTTTCCGAGTGGGCTTCATGTCAAATCCTCGTGAATTTCTCCCCCGGCAGTCTCGCCAATGTTGTGAGTAATGTGGCGGGCATATTGACAGGAGGATGGATTCTATAAAAGTATGGAAACTTATGGAACCTGGGTGAGACAATTTGTGTCAATAATATCACAAGGGAAGCTTATTAATTATGTCGGCACATAGGTTCTGGTAGGACTTGGACTCCATGAAATTTAATACGTGGGGTTGAAAGTATGTGCAATCCGGTCACATAAGTAGTGCTCTGCCCGATGGAAGTCACATCACTTGTGGACAGGTGAAACATGTTTTGAGTGAGTAATGTATACAAATCGTATCTTAGCAGGCTTCGATTCAGCTTCCTCTTGCTTCCCCTACGCTGCCTTCTCCGCGGCATCACTTGCTCTGCCCTTCATGTCCAGCGGTACCTAACATCCATGACTCCTTCATATAAAATTGAAACCACGCTACAAGATGGTCAGAACACTTGGAGAGCACAATTCTCATGGGCAGAAAAAGCAAAAACCTCTCAGTACAGCTTTGCATAGCCCGAACCAGGATTTAGAGGCATCTTATATCAAATATCAAACTAAATATGCTACTCGAAAGTAAAGTTAACCTTCACACCAAATTTCAGCAGAATATATTAACTTTTGATATTGGTCTGCGTGAAACCTAGGGTCGCTTAGGTTGATAATTTTCCAAATTAAACATTAAATTCTCTCTCGATTTCATTAGACCTGTGTTCCAAATTTCAACTTTCTAGGGCAAATTCTCAAAATCAATATTGGTCACCCCACAGGGTCCCTCAAGATAAAAATTCTTCGATTTTGGCTTCATATTCCGAGTCTGGGACCATCATGCCGAATTTCAGCCTTTTAGGACTATTTCGGATATTCTTCAACAAATCCCCCTCACACACCACTAATAGTGGGAGGAACCCCCCCACCGGTCCAAATATTTTTTGATCGACCCTTTCTATGAAAATAAAACTCTCCCAACCGATGTTTGGATGTGTTTAATCACCGTTTGTGACCGGTTTCGCAATTCTTTATTGCTTCATCAGACCTTTTACAATCAAAATTATATTTACAATTATTACTCATTTTTGAAATTAAAATTAGATAAAAATTAGGTAAAAAATTAGATAAAATTAGATAAAATTAGATAAAATTAGCCATCAGGAATGAAATTAAGTACAATACATATAAATATTACCTTCGGTGAGATCGAGTCTTGCATTTTAGTAATAGTATGTATTTCTTTCAAGGTTTGTACAAGACTGAGATTTACTTGTACGTACAATACTGTGCTAAGGAATTGATTTGTTTAAAAGAGATTACAAAGTTTAGTCTATCAATGATATCACGGTACTGCTTATTTTTGCTTGTATCCTTCTCTGTATTTAGGAACCGTATGAGCGTACTTTTAAACTTATACATATTATTGTAAAAGGGCATAACTACAAATGTTTTGTGTATGTCTCCTTTTTCTTTGATTTTACAATTTTGGTATTTACATATTATTTCTGGATGGTTGTTCATAAGAGAATGTAACACAAGTTTAGTTTTAGGCTGTAAAACTTCGTGTCTATCCTTTGTTCTGACTTTTTCTATGCATTTTTTTATTATTGCATTTGGATATCCTCTGCTTAAAAACTTTTTACATAATAAGGCGAATTCTTTTTCACAGTCCTCCGTTCTAGAACAAATCTTCTTAATGCGTAAAGCTTGGCTAAACGGTATGGATTCCTTTAGTGATTTAGGATGATTCGATTCATAGTTTAAAAAAACACTCTTAGCCATTGGCTTTGTAAAAATG